AGGAGTTTGGGGCCATTTGCCAGACACCTAGCTGGTATCCGTCCAGGATCCGCTCCACGGCCGGATGTAAGGGAAATCTTAGGCCAGCTTTAACAGCCACCTCATAGCAGCCAAAACACTCATCCCCATAGTTGTACCCCTCTGGCCAGACTACGGTGTCTCAGCATCTGGCGTGCATAGAATGTAATCATGTCCCATGACATGGTGCGCTCTGAAGCTCCTAATTTTATCGGCCACCATTTTCCACCTGCCTGCGGGAACGTGATGGTAGTAGGCGAAAAATTGCTCTCGGCGGGTAGCAGACGGCTCCGCCCAATCTGCTCCCAATTCTACAGAGAGGGACTCTCTCGCGACCCCTAGCCGAGAGTGCCTCTCCTCAGATTCATATGAGAATTTGCTAGAAGTACTTGGTTCAGAGTCGTTGTTTGAGCTCTCGGTCCTGGTGTCCGCCTGGTGGGCCAGATCAACAAAGCCCGGCATATCATTTTGAACCTCTTCCCTGATTCGTCTAAAATGGAATAACTGGGAGTGCTTGGGGCACCAGGCGGCACGTCAGACAATTTGTTGACAGGCGCATAGAAGAAAGAGTCATCTGAATTTGTCACCCTTGCCGTTCTCTTAGTTCTGGCCATGGTGTCCTGCACAGACACATAGACAGTCAGACTTGGGGCAGTTCTCAAAGGGTGATCCAGCAAGGGGCTGTCGGCACTCATAGTTCTAGATTCAGCCGTCCCCGGTGACCAGCTGATCACTAACCTAGGCCGTGCCGTGTGCTTTTAGGAAACCATTTTCAAAAGAAAAACAAAGAGAAAGTACGAAAGAAGAAAAAGAAACAGGCGGTTACCTTTAGTCGGTGAAAATAAAGGCGCTTGAAAATCTACAGCGGCTGTAAAGGCAGGCGGTCTGGTGCAGTTGGAAGTCGTTCTCTTTCAGAAAAAGACAAAGTTCTCAAAAGTTCTCTCTGGAATTTTTGGAAATGTCTAAACAAATGATTTGGACATCTCCTATTTATAGGGGGGTTGAATTCCAAGAGACAGTAAAAAAAAAGAAGGTAAAAACCGTTAGCCAATCATAGCGTGACACCTGTCACAGGCGCACGTGGTATGCCACGTCACCCCTATGAGGGGAAAATGATTAAGGGACTCTCCCTCCACGTGGACCAATTAAACTCTGCCACGTGTCATCCACATGGCCCAACCAGATCCTGCCCTGTGTCACCTCGTGAGAGGTCCAAGGTGGACCAATCAGGCCACGATACATGGCAGGCAAATTGCCAACTGGGAAAATGGTCTTTAAAGGCCCAAATACCTAGGCAAGCCCAGTCAGTCCTAGGTTTCCGAAAACCTAGTACTGGGCACATATTTCCGGACCCTATAAAAGGGAAATGTTCCCCCTGAGGAATATCATTCAGAAATCATTAAACACACGCGTACATTACTTGCTGAGCATTAACTCCAGCTTTAATTGCGCTACTTGAGAGCTAAGGCTCGGATTCCGAGACTGTCTTAGACAGTCGGATGATCACTCCCCTTTCGAGAGGAGGCTGATCCCCTGTACTTTCCGCATCTTTACTTCCGAACACGTTCTAACTTGATCGTCGGAGGCAGAACTCCCACCCATAGGAGTCTCCGTTGTTTTGCAGGTACAGGCGTCCAAAGGTCAGTCTTAGTGTTGTAACTCTCCCGCGGGACATCCAAAAAAACCCGAAACACATGTCATGTCATGCCGGCTACCAAGTTATATTCAATCGGATCATGCCATGTTTTTCAAACTTCCAAGTCAAGTACAGATCGAATTAGGTCAAGTTCGATTCTAGTTAATTATAACAGGCTTTATATTTTTTTGGTTACAAAAATAATTTCGATTCGAGTCAATTTTGGGTTTGGTTATTTGTTGGGTACGATTTGCATCAAGTCGGGTTAGCGAAAAGTTTAAAGCAAAAAAATTTGAGTAGGATGAACTTTAGGTCGGGTCATTCTTAGACTCGGTTCAAAGCATGTTTGGATAAATTAAATCAAAATCAGCCTATTCATTTTTTAGCTCAGGTCAAATTTGAGTCATGAAATCGAGTTGAGTTAAGTTTGGTTTGCTAAAACACAATAACAAAACGAAGATATACCTTGAGTTGGATCAAGTCAAATCAATTTTTGCATGCACAAGTTTCTAAACTACAATAATGATGTATTTAAATATGCATAATTTAAACTATAGTAAGATTCACTTGTATATCATTGATAGAGATGTATGAAAGGAGAATTTGACTAATGGTTGCGAAAGAAGTATATAGTATTGATCTAATAGCATATTATGAATCATGGAAATAAAGAGAGTTCCTAAGGAACTTATACATGATGTATTTAAATGGAAATAATTCTTCAAATGAATCTTATAACAATTTCACGAATTGCTACAAAAATTTGGAGAATTTGGGTGATTTTTGAAGTAAGTTAAGGGGAGTAGTTATACAAGAAAAAATCGCGGGGAAAAGGTAATAAATAGAAAAGGTCAAACTAGTTGATATATGGGCCCCTCGGTTGGAATCAATACCAGAATCAAGCAAAGGGTGATGAGATCAATTTTTTTTTAAGGGGTAGTAATTTTATAAAAATAAAAAATAATTTAAAAAGGGTGGTTGAATAAAAAATTGGGTCGTTTTTGTGCGGTAAACTCCTAATCCATTTGGTAATTTTGGCATTTTTATCATTTGGAGTTGACGTGTATTAGTTTCACTTTAAACACTTATTTTATCTAAAATAATTCAATACAACTATACAAGTAATGTGGCCTAATATTAAGTAAACCTAGGTCACATTCAAGTGAGAAGATTTTCAATTTGGACACATGTGGTTGCAAATGTTTGTATCATTTCCAAATCTAATTAGAAATTGAAAGGAATGGTGTCCTTCCAACAAGTGTATTCTTCCGATAGTGGGTTCAGAATTATTACGGAGCTAATTCTTCAGTAAGGTCAAGTGATCGGAATGCCTAGGTGGAGGCCGCTTCCGATCAGTAATATCAATGTGCAATTGATGTTACAGCTTAATCTTAACTAAACCCTTTGGGTCGAACCCAATCGAATCACCGATCCGAGACGACGAATTGATCCGAAAGGATTTAATGAGTCGACAGAGTTTTACGAATACAGACGTCGGAAATCGAGCCTAGGGCGTCGAGACCGAACGTCGCAAAATCACAAGCAACAAGTATGAGCGTAGCCGTAGCTAGGCTAGGCTAGCTCATCGCAAGCCTAGGCGCACCATGGTGTGCTAGGCACTATCGCAGCCTAGGCGCGGCCTGGTAGCCTATCGCAAGCAATAGGCGCACCAGGCGCACCTAGCAAGTCATCGCAGGCACCAGGCGCATCTGGCAACCTATCGCAGGCACCAGGCGCACCTGGCAACCTATCGCAGGCACCAGGCACACCTAGCAACCCATCGCAGGCACTGGGTGCTGCGTGCGTGCGTGCCTGGCATGGCAGCACCATCGCAGGCACCAAGTGCTAGCATGGGTTCCTGCCTAGCATTGGCGCACCATGTGTGTGCTGGCTTGTGTGCTAGCCTTCGCATGGAAGCACCAAGCATCGCACCATATGCGAGGGCCTGGGCGCCAGCATAGTGCTAGGCCACGCACAGCAGCCCAGCATCACCACGCACCAAGACTGTTGTGTGATGCGTGGGCGTGCGTGTGGTGCGAGGCCAATGCACGCTGCGCATGGTGCGTGGCTAGTGCGAGAGGTGCTCCGAAGGTGTGTGCGTGGTGTGCGAGGCAAAGGGGGCCAGCATGCGTGGCTCGCTAGCAGCACGCATGCTGGGAATGCGAGGCATGTGCGTGCGTTGGGGAGTGCTAGGCAGCCAGCAGCGCCCAGCAGCTAGCACTGGCCAGCACCAGCGCCTAGCACAGCCTAGCGCCAAGCATGCGAGGCTGCTGGGCAGGCACATGCTAGCTGGCTGGGTTGGCTGGCACATGCTAGCTGGCGTGCTAGCTGGCACATGCTAGCTGGCGTGCTAGCTGGCAGTAGCCCAGCACCCCCTTGTGAGTGGCGGTTTAAGGAGAGGTGGGGACCAAAGCCACCAAGCTTCCCTTGGGGAGCAAGGCAATGGTCCCCCCCATGGGATATGGTCCTCACCTAACCCATTCTCTCCTTTTGCCACTTGTTGGCTTGTGATTGCTTTTGTCTAATTATTTATTTTGGAATTAAATAAATTATTGCAATTGCACATGATCCCACATTGATCATGAAAAGGGGTTTCAAGTCCCCATTCTCTATAAATACCCACTTGGTTGGGATTTTGAGAATACAACCTTGAGTGGAATTAAAAAGGCAACTCTAAGAAAGAGTAAACCTTTGATTCGTAAAACTCATAGTTATTTTGTCCGGGTCTTGACTAACCTTCAAGACTTAGGACGCTCGGGTCGGATCGAGGGTACGATCTGTCGGAGATCTCGTCTTTTCGGGATTTTAAAGTAAGAGCTCTTTAGGAGCGAAGCACGCGTCAAAGGTATAATTCTTGATCTTAATCTTGTTTGATTAAGTTTATTATGCTTGTTAATTGCTTTAATTAAGGGGCGGGTCTTGGTGGGTTTCCTTCCGCGTAGTGTCGGTTCACTACGAAACCCTACAGAAATCAGCTAATGGTGAGATGTAAGTCACTCTACACATATTTTCTGAGTTTGTTCCTAGCACATAGATATTTTCTGAGATTTTTTTTTTTTTTTTTTTGGTTTTGTTTTGTTTTGTTTGTTTGTAGTGATCTTTGTCAAACAAAAAAAAAAAAAAAAAAAAAAAAAAAAAAAAAAAAAAAAACCCTAAAAAGACCAACAAAGGAAATGTCGTTGTCGAGGGCACACAACCAGCCAGTGCGCGGGAGAAACCATCCTTTAGGGACCTTACATATCCTACAAGCAAAAAGTTGAGGGAGAATTTCCTTTATATCCTGAATTAGCCATGCACAGGAAATATCTGTCAAACTAGAGTGGCGATAGCAAGCCTGAAGCTCCGCCTAAAGACCAGGCATAGTTCTACCGGCCCTAGCACTACCACCTAGCACCCTATCCGAATGAATCTCCCTAAAAATGCACCCTGCCCCTGCACTGTTGTCATGACAATTCCAGGCACCATCAAAAAGTAGACAATGATCAAGAGGATCAGTAGGACCACCACTCAGACGCAATGACATAAAGCTCTCGAGGGGGGGAGATCGAATCCTGTAGGAGGAGGAGAGTTGATTTTGAAAAACTCCAGCCTGAGTAACCCGAGCAACCCAGTCCGCAGAGAGGTGGAAGGTCATTGAAGGAGACCAAACCGCTTGCCTAAAAATACATTGATTACGCATAAGCCAAATAGCCCAAAGGAAGGAGACAAAAGACACAAGACCTCCAAAATTCTTAGATCGCTGAAAATCCGACATCAAGTTCGTAAACCACTCATTAAATGGTTTTGCTTGCAGCAGACGACCATCAAGTGTCAAAGGACCTTGCTCCCAAAGTGGACTTATAAACGGACAGTCACGGAAAAGATGAGAAACCGTCTCTAAATCACTGTGACAGAAAATAAGCACTGGATTTACCGGAAGACCCTTCGGACACACAGTCGATGATAGGGGTAAAGCATCATGTAGAAACTTCCAAGAAAACATCTTAAACCGAGGAAGGAGAGGCAAACCCAAAAACGTTTCCACCATGGGGCAGGAGCTGGTTCACTAACAACGGAATGCATGGAATGACAAACCAACAAAGAATAAGCCGATTTGGTGGAAAATTGACCATCCGGTGTAATCTTCCAGTTAACAAAATCATCCATCGGACTCTAAGGCCGCTCTGCCGAAAGAATACATTGAGCTGTAGCATTATATATTCTGAGTTTGTTCCAAGCACCTTCTATCGTTCAATTTCGAATACGACTCAAATTTAGGTTATATTTCCTCTTTTTCTTATTAATCGTATCATTTGGACTTTTAACAATTCACAAACCCCTCTTTGACTACCTTTTGTGTTTTATTCTTTAGGAAAATTTTATTTTAAGTGCCATCTTATTAAATCTATCCTGATTTATGCTTTATATGATGAAACTCCAAATAGTACAATTCAAAAAAAAAAAAAAAAGAAAAAGCGGACATATGATTCAAACTTAGGCCAGTTGTTCCAAGTGCTACACATTCTAGTTCAGGTCAGATCAACTTGCATCAAGTCAACCTACAGCTTCTATGAAAACTACACGGGTAAATTGTTTGAGCATTTAACATGTGCAATGGTAAAACAAATGGATGGATTGATTATCCTAAAAAAGTAAAGACATCTCAATAGACTAGCCACACCCTTTTATGTTTTAAAGGGAAATATCAAAAGAGCATAAAACAAGCATATGGAACGCGAAAAAACACAATATATTTCATTTCATAATTAAAGACTATCTACTTCTAATTTCTTCTACAAAAAACGTTCCAAGGCATGTCACAACATTACATCAATTGATCCTCATCAGCAGCTATGCTAAGTCTTAGCTACTGAATTTCTGGCTGGACAATCACATAGTAACAGCCTCGTCAGCAGTTCAAGGGCACCAGTAGCAGCTTGACGCCCATTTTCACCTCCAAAGAAAATCTTCCAGCCTCTACAACTAAACTAAACCCCACCTCTCCGAGGCAAAGCTTAATCGTGAATAGACTGATTACTCATGACTTTGCTGGCCTGACAAGTTAATGCTCCTCTCTGTATTCTGGGTTTTCCTTCAAGATGACAAAGCCTTCGAGTATGGATGATAAAGGAATATACCTAATAAAACGCCAACCAAAAAAAAAAAAGAAAAATAAGCACATGCAGAGTAAAAATAGATGGCCAAAGCATATATACATAAAATCTCTTACTTCTCCGTGGCAAGTTCTGCCCTGTCACCAGCAGAAAGAAGAACTGGGGTTGAATGAGTTTGGAAGCCAGTAATGGTCTTGGGCCGACCCGCCTGGCCAACAACATCAACTGCTTGACCAACCCGGACAGGTACTGAAAGGGGCTTAAGGTTTTCATCAACAGTCAATAACATTCTTGGCTGCAGAATCACAGACAAACAGATAAGTACACCACTCAAAAAAAAAAAAAAAAAAAGGCAGAGGCCGGAAAGAGTGGGACCAAACGAAAAAAAGAAATGCATCCTGATATTATGGCTTGTTTGGAAATTTAATTACTGAAGAAACATATGGATAAGTAAAACTAAAGAAAATAGTATTCAGAAAAGAAAAACTATAAAAATTACTGATTTTCACTCGTTTGATTGTTTAATGAGCAAAGGTCTGCAAAGCTTGAAGTAAAGTATTAGTAGGCTTTTGTTTGGTTATTTTAATGAAGAAAATTTTGAATTTAATACGATTACCACACAGTTTTTCCACTGTATTTGAAAGAAATAATATGGAAAACTAAATGGTGGAGTTGTAAATACAAGGTCTCCACATGTACATAGTTTTTTCACCCCTCAAACAAACATGGTAAAATTAAATTCAAAGATTTCTAAAGGAACGTGGATATAAATAACCAACCTGCATCGCAAGGACAAGAAAGTAAAGCATATAATGATATTTTCCCAAGATGATGGCCTTCATATCCAGACATGCATGAAGCGTTACTACTAAACCAGCAAGTGCCATCCTGTTAAAACAAAGTGACATTACATAATTACAACCAGCAATTAGAATGCAGGCAAAAGCTTTACCAAATCGGCAAAGCAAGCGTCTGTTGCTAGACCTGATTTCAAATATGAAAAACAGACACTTACGGGGATAACAAGAAGTGGTCAGAATGATATGGGTTGAGGGTCAAAAGACCTTTCCCCATATGTACAAGACCTTGAGCAATCCGAACCTGCATTAATCACAAAAAAGTTTTATCCAATCAGAACAGCAGCGACATAACTCTTGACACAGGGTAGACGTGCTAAGAGGCCTTACACAGAAGAGAGCACTGGCATCCTTGTAGTAATAGCTGGACAAACTTCTTAGCATCCCAGCAATTCGGGCATTATTGGTACCAGCACCTATCAATCCCAACGAAATAATGGCAGCCTGCATGGTGAAAATTAAATTAGACATGACAAGATGAGAAGTATACACTTGAAAAGAAACAGGAAACAAAATTTCCAATTACCATAGCTACATCTGAGTCAGAATCATGGCTCAGTCTACTTAAGGTATCCATAACATTTACCTGCAGCATAGGTAATTAAAAGATAAATCAGTAACATGAGCAAAAACTTTTCATATGTACTACAAAAAATGCTTGGGAAAAGATATTAAGTGCTAATAATGTGTTCTGATGGAAAAGAATCCCCAATTATTAGAATTAATAATTCCAAGGCTAATCTTCCTTCTATAATTATACATGTTTTCCCTCAACTCACACCAGTATAATCAATATCAAATCTTATTAAAATCTCGAGGTCTGTATTTCTTTGGTATTCCATCTTTCAGAAAATTACTACAGGTCCAATTTACCTTATGTAGACAAAATTCAAATGCAAGCAATGCATGCTTCAAATTTCATAAACATGTACAATATTCACTGTTAAAGAGCACATAAATAGTAAGGACATTTCAGATATTTAGGTAGACACCTAACACCTCAAGAGTTTGCTTATACTATAGGGATACTTCAGAATCTCACGACACAGAAACTTAATCAAAAATTCAAAACTAATAGAGCATACTTTAGGGTTCGATATGCATAAGAGACCAAGTGCCAATGGAACTGCACGACGGATATTCTGCTCTCCATACTGCAGCAGATGCTCTAGTGAACGAATTGCCATCTCAACACCCAATTCTTCTGCCATAGCTACCATGGCAATTCCCAGAACAGCTGGTCCCTGGTGCGTTTCACCTTTGTCAAGATGTTGTGCGCAGTGACCTAGCAGACTCTGGACCTGCACTAAGGAAAACAACAAAATTGAGAAAGCTATTTGACACATTACAACAGCTAATGGAAGCCATGTCTATAAACAGAACCTTAAGAACATTTCCAGTTCCAGCATAGGCACAAGAAAGAAGAGTCATATCACAATGTTTCCTGATCTTTTCATTGAAAGTCTTAGAGACCTCTGCTGTTGCTTCCACACTTTCCTGTATAGGAGATACAAAAGCAAATGATCAAACAGAGTCAACAATGTCATTAATGATATTCAGAACGGGTACAGAAACATAAACTTGGAATTATAGTCCGGATTGTGTGAAATTTTGTGGAACACGAGTCCTCAAGAAAATGTCAATTGTTACGAAGCAATAATCAAAGATATATGCTCTAACAGCTCATTTGGTACTGAATCATAAATCTTTGGATTACAGTCAGGAATTGGAGTGAAGTTTTTAGAAATATAAATCAATGACAATCATAAAGAACATCAACTTCTGAAGGGAGTAATATCTTTCTAAACTTATTTCTACTAGCTACTACCATTCATTACCTACCTGGGCTTTAAGATGCTATTATCTTTCCATGGGGTGTTGCATTTAAAGATTAAACACAAAATCACCTTAATTTGTAACCTTGTATCAAACCAGCCATAAGAGAATGTTTAAACTGGTGGGTATCTACTCAGTATAAGGGGTGAGGGGGACCAATTAAAATTATAATTGCACTAATTAAAAGTTACCTGCTTCCCTAAATACAAAAGACCAAGGCCCAAAGGTAGAAGCCTCGCAAGTGGCTCCCCTAAATCAGACTCACTCCTATCCATTAATGCAAATATAATTGCCTGTGCAACCTCTTCATTACAGGAACCAACAAAAACCAAACCAAGTGAAATTGCAGTGAAGGCGATAACATCAAGAGAAGCCTTTGTGTCCCCAAGAATTGGAGTCAACTTGTTGCGTATCTGCAGATGGCAACTATAACATCAGATATTTATTATTAAAGCATAGATAAAAGCACATCAATACATAGAAGGCACTATGACACACTAACAAATACAACTACAATATCACAACCAGACAGCATTACTGCCACAGCCTGTATCCTGTCAGACAGCCATAACGAGTTAGACAACTATGATGTCAGCACGTTCTTGGTAATGAGTTATTACAATTTTTGCCAGTCTACTCTTATTCTATTCTTTAGATTCGAATTTCCACATTTCTATTTCCCGCTTCAGTTCATGAACTGTAGGGTAAACTGGCCGCTGCTGTGAAATTCTGATAAGTATTGCTATATTGGAGTAGGCAATTCTCTTAGTCTAAGAATTATGCCCAAAAAAAAAAAAAAAAAAAAGAAAAAAAAAAGATGATTACATCCCAAGAAATGCATATTAGTAAACTGTGATAATCCATTGTTCCATATTCTTTGTCAGGTGCACATTGCTTACATGAATGACACCAGCGAACGAAATACATCACAAAGCAGGTACCTCTAGGTGCACACAAGGCACATTTTTTAAATACAAGCTTGTAACACCCAAAATTATAAGCACATTAGCAGGGATGGAAGGAACAAGTAGTTTTGCATTTTGTAATATGATCAACATTGATGCAATATGAGACTTTTCCATTTCTATTTTTTCATAGAAAGAAAATCTAATTCTGTTTGCAACACAGTAAGCCACTAAGACTCAGTACATGTCCTGAATCCATCAATTCAAAAACAACCTTTAGTCTTCTATTTCTTTCTCCGTGTTAATACAGCAGGTGAACGCACACAGAACATACCTGTTCATTCTGAGTGTTTGCATATGTAATGCCCAAACCCATGATGGCACCAATCCGAATAGCTGGGTCTTCTTTATCAACATAATCCCCCAAAAGCGCCAGAGCCTACAAGAAAAATGGATATCATAAAACAGCAGATACTTCAAAAGTTGCTCAAGTATAATGATGATTCTGCTTAAACATACTGGATCACAATCATTCTTTACACCACAGTTCACAATTCCAACACCAAGTAATGCACCCGCAATAACGTGATTGTCAGTACTGTGGAAGTACTTGTCTAGTTGTGCAAGTCCAGAATCAACATCCCAAAGCAAGATCATACCCTGCCATACAAGAATTTTTTAAATTAAAAAAAGAAAAATGGCAAAAAATGCATAAAGAAAGAGGAAAAAAAGGTAAAGCACATACCAAACTCGCAGCAGCACTAGTTTTCCCATGTTCTTTATTTTTAAATAGCCAATTCCCAGAAGAACCCCCGGTTGAGGAATCAGCAGGGCCAGTCATCAGTTTGTCCTGTAGCAACCACCAAAACATGCCTTAAGCACTATTTATAGGGCTTAAAGCTGTTCAGACCAAATAATGGAATACAATACCTGTCCAAAACCAGCATTTACAAAAGCATTCACAAATGTAGCTGCCAGATTTTGTCTAGCAGAGTCAACAGTTGCACCAGCACTAGCACGGCCATCAAGTAAATGAGCCTAACAGCCAAAAAATTGGATACAATCAGCATTTACTACAGTTAAGCAAATATTCAGAGAAATGTTAGAGCGACAAAATATGCATGTATAGATTTCCTAAGACATAGACAGGCACGCGCGCGCACACACACACACACACAATGCTATGATAGCACAATCAAAATACATATCAGAGAGCAGCACTGAACAGCATGAATAAAAGGACATGATATAATATCAACATATTTGTTCAAATAAAAAATTGGTTAAGAAAAGGGTAAGTGACAAATAAAATAACCTCAAACGACATATTAGTTACAGGAAAAAAAAAAAAGGGGGTAGATTACCACATTTTTCAGTGACATTGGTAAGAAAGACAATATGAGTTCCGGAAACATATATTGATGGTGACAATTAAGCCAAAACTGGGCCAGGTGTTGATTCAAGAGATTTGACAAAAAAAATTATTTTATATTTTAATAAAATTTAAAAAAAATAAAAAATAAATAAATAAAAATAAATGTAAAAAAAAAAAACCGTGTGTTCCCTTTTTTCCTGTTTTTTAGTAAAAAATTTATCACCCCACCCTTTTATGTCAATAAGCTCTTACATTAACCCCCTATTCCCCATTTTTGATTTATGGCTTCAATGATTGAAGAAGACATGAGGAATAAAAAACTTCGATGATTTCTAATTCACCATAAACAAAATTTCTAGCAGCCGATTGAGGACATTTTGGATCATTCAAGAATAAATTCAAAAAATAGCAACTATGGTATATTGATGAGTACAAACAGCTGATGTGATATAATAAAAGTAATTGCAATGCCATACGAGTGTAGTAGCCAATAGTACATGAAGTTTTTGTAAAATAAATAAAGGAATTAGAGAAAGCCACAACTGAAATAATGTATTACACTAAAATAGTGAATTGAATTCACATCATTATAACAACTAACAAGTGTGAAGCTGTTGTAAGAAATAATGTTAATTACTAAACAAAAAAGACAACTGACATATAACCTCACTTTTGGCCCATTTTGTGGCTTCCATCGCTAGTACTTTTTCTACCTATGTCACTCGAGCTTTATTTTATTACCAAATTGTCAAACTGAGAATTAATTTTCCCCAACTTGTCACATACCCTCATTATTTTTAAACAATTTGGTTAAAAGGAATCCTTCTAATTTACATCACAATATTTTTGTTTACTACATATAATATAATGCATTTAATCCTCTAACCAGAACCCTTTTACTTTATAAATAAGAAGCAGCAACCTAAAACGTACAAGTTATAAAAAACATAAGCACAAGACAGAAAGAGAATAATCCATATGACTAATTAATTAGTATAAGCTTTAAGGCTTTTGACCGCATTTTATGATTAATATTAACAAAGGAAATAAAAATGTGGGATCTTATTAGAATCGTCTCAATATAAATATTTAAAATTTCAACATTTCAAGTTTTCACTTTTTGTAATTAAAAATATAAATGGTCAAAGACGTGCATTTGCGACTGCAAAAGACAAAGCAGGAATGAATGGAGTGTATTGCATCAAATGGATGTAAAAGCACATATAAGATATTACCTTATATATATCCTCAGGTGATTTGGCTTCCATGACCTCTATATCACGAGCAAGGGTCAAATAACCTTCACTCAACTTAGAATTGTTGATTATATCTTGCATTTGCTCCCTTTCATCATCATCTGAAACCATGTCATCATCGAGCTCAAATAAGACACCCTGCATGATAAAAAGTTGCTCAGTAACAGAGAAAATATACAAGCCTGAAAGAGGCTCATAAGTATCCTCGCATCATAATCAACTAACTCCACATTAAACACCAATGACAGAAAGAACATAGGTGAGATGCAAACTGTACAAGACAAAATAAAATTGCTACACAATCACCGTACAACAGAATCAGGAAACAGAATCCAAAATTAAAACAACCCATAGAGCACATTCGTAGATGTCAAAAGGGCCAAAATAACCAAGACACAAAATTATTTTTATTAGCAATTAAACCAAATCAGTAACATATCCACTGATCTTATATATCTGATGTGTACAAAACTCAAGACATTCACATCAAATTAGAAGTGTGCAAGGAACAGAATCTGATAAGGACCTGAGCACAGATACAAGGCACTGGCAAAATAAGAGACTAATACTGGACTACTCTTTTGAGCGGTAATGCCTTCGACAGACAAAAGCCAATAGAGGCCTTCAAGATAATGGAGAATTCAACACTTACATGTCGTGCAAGGATGTAACAAAACTGCTTCTTCCGCAGGAGGTCCTCACAAGATGTGAAAATCTGCTTAACATACTGCAAGACAAAATGAACATAAGAGTCTATACACAGTCGAAGTGGGAACACAAATACGCCATCCAACCTTATACCAACTTTTAGGGTTAAAAACAGTCAAGACATAAAAGGCCCTATATAGATTTGATAGTTTGCTAGTCTGATTAATCAAAATTAACATTTCACCAGCAAACACAAGGACTGCTGAAAATAATGAGCACCCAATAATAAGTTGCACAATACTAAGTCCAAGCCATTTAATTAAGGCCCAAGTTTTTCCACTTATATCCACATTGATAAGAGTTAATTTGCAGTGTAAGAAATACTTTTTATTTAGGTTAATTGTAATTTTATGGGCAGTTTGGCATTAATCAATGATTTTTCTATTTCACGAAAAAAAAGGCAGGGGCAATAGAGAGTAATTTTTGAAATGATAGGAAAGGGAGGCAAACCTGCAAGTTGTCCAGGAATAATGAAACCTGGAGTGCAGAGGGATACTCTTCACATTTCATATATATAGAATGGGCAATATCAAGGACCAGCATATCATCAGGACTAGCAAGATATCTGCCAATGTAGCAACATAAATGTGAACAGCAGTAAATAAAATATGTATAAAAGCACGTCCACAGCACATACATAATCCAGGCAAAATTAATGGGCCAATGGAGCTGTGCAAGCAAAATCTAAGGACCAAGGTGATACATATACCGATACACTCAAATGGTAATTAAATAGCATTAAAACCACAGTTTAGACAACTCACATATTATGATTCTAGCCAACAAACAACATTTTGATCATTCATAGACGATATTGTAAGGAATATGATCAGACTCTCAAAACAAAAATCGTATGGAGACAACTAAAGAGGAAGGTGTAAATATATTACTTGGCTGCAGCAGTCAAATAAAGACACGTCCTTTTGTAATTTTTATCATCGACATGCTCTTGCAACAAATCAAGATCTTCCACCTAGACATTACAGAGGGACATTGTATTAATGTTTTCAAGCACAGCTTCAAATCCAAACAAGATAAACATGTACCTCCATGAGAAGATCAACTGCTTCAGGCTCAGCATTGTGCTGCAATACAATGAAGATTTATCATTAGTAAAAAAATGTTTAGAAAGGATTTCTGAAGAAAATGCCATAGCAAATTCAAATATACTTCTTCAAACATGCAGAAAAATACCTTCATGTGAAAAGCAATAATTTGTTGAACAAGATCCATGAGATCATCAATAGGGGCATCCTCATTCTGAAACCATTAACACATTAACATTAAGTTCACCAAGCTCACAAACACCAACAGGAAGCTCCTTAATTAAAAACCACATAACAAGGGCAGCTAGAAAATCCACAGAATGAACAGAATGATATCACACTAGCCAATAAGATGTATACTCCATTATGAATCAAAAATTCAAAAAAATTTATAATGCAAAGTATGAGATCACACCATCAGATAATTACTAAACCAAAGAAGCTTACCTGACGCTTTGTGTATTCTTGTGCAATCTCTCCAGCCAAATTTCTGCACACACAACACCAAGAACACAAAGAGATATTATTAAACAAAAGATCATAGAAGTATGAAGTAGACTGCAGATGACAAGGATTGCTCATTGTTAAGCAATGGTGAAGTGCAAAGAGTGATTAAGTTGGGACTGAACACTGAACAAAATTAACATTATTTGGAATATAATGTTTGCACTTGTCTCCAGTAATTACAAACTCTTCTTTGGCTTAAATGTTTCCAGGCAAAATACGATATTTAGAAATATTGTTTACCAAAAGCATGAAGCAGACCATAGATGACAAGTGTTTCTCATTGTTAAGCAGTTGAAAAATGCAAAGGGTGTGGGCCAGAGTGCTGAACCAATTGAACTTTGAGGGGTGAAGTCTTATGTTACAAAACGAGGATACGATATGGGTACGGATCCGAGTATCCAGTACGTCAATTCCAGAATTTTAGACACAGAAACCGCCTTCACTTGACATGGCACATAATGTAGATACAACAATAAAGATATAAAGAAACCCCCCCCCCACCCCCCCCCCCAAACCAAGCCCCATCACCCCTTAAATTGTACAAAACCCACAGCCCACCCCAACTAACCAATCCATAACATGTGAACCTTAAGAGAATAAAATAAACTTCAGGGTTACAACCCGCCCCAGTCCCCACCTTTTTTCCCCTATTTGCCTTGTTGTTCAAAAGAACTACAAATGACTTCTATGGAGTTGCTTCCACTCTAGGATGCTCAGACTCGGGTAAAGGTTTAAGTGTCAGACTCGGAAATTTATAAATTGAGGATACAGGACATGTTATTAAAGAGTCCAAATTTTAGATATGGACTTGTGGACTCGGTAATGTGTAAAAGCAAACTTAAGAATTTGTAGTTAAATTGTTTTTTTTTTTTTTTAAAAAAAAAAAAAAAAAAAAAAAAAAGAGTAATTAAGTTGTTACGTAATTACATCAGATAGTAAATAAAGTAGAAAAAGTCAAAGGAAAGCCTTTCCCAATTGTCATTTAATGTTGACAAAAGATTAATAATGTGAAGAGAACTATGTGAGGTATTCCACCTAACCCCACCCCGCATAAAAAATTGTGTTTCTTCCTCCACCTACCCCCACCCACGTAAAAAATAAAGAAAAATGTAAACGCGCACAATTGAAAATGGAGAAATATCAAAGAATTCATAATCCCATTGCCTGAATAAAAAAACCGACGTCTTCTTGGTGGTCATATATCCCTTCCGATCATAAGACCTAAGGTTTCGGCTCTTGTTTTGCTGAATCCGACATTCTATTTCATAGCTAGGGTTCATAACTACCGAGTCCCCTTTCTCTTCAAAGGGTTCGACCCGGACTTCATGTCCACACTTGTCATGTGTGTCATGTCGACACCAGTACAGAGGGGAGGTGGGCCAAGTCCAAGCATCACAGCTTACACTTATCCCCGATTTCCTTTCCTGCATTTTCGATCCATGTTTTTCGTAACAATGACATGAACTGTCCAAGCCGTATTTCATACCGGATTGTGATACAACCTAGGTATGGAGCTTTTTTTGCGGTGTTTGAAGACACAATATTTGAAATAAAACATTTGCACCTATCTCTAGTATTTACATTTTCTTCTTCGGCATGAAAGTTTCCAAGTCAAAATACAACATCAACCAATGTTATGTACGAAGAGTCAAGTACACCAACATAAAACACAAAATGTATGAAAATAATGCTATTACCAAAACATGAGCAGCAAACTTAACATCTCTAATAGTAAATGCTCAAAGATCATGAGCCCCTAGATAATCAGTCTAAGAGATGTATTTCTAGTTAACCAAATAAAAATATTAAAACAAAAGATGTTACCTCACATATTCATGACCCCATGAACCAATATCACCCTCAGATCCCAATAGCCTGTACTTCAAACTCTCCTGCAAGAATAAAAGAACAAATAAATCTCAACACTTTCAATTTAAGCTTACATTGCATCATTATCAGAAATCAAATAAGCTCTCTCGTTAAATACAAAGTCCATTTGCAAGCATGCTTTGAAAAAAGAAAAACCATTAAATAATAAACTACTAGTCAGATGGTGCCACGCCGCCACCTGTTTCTACATTATACTATTAAAAAGCATTGCATTCAGTACTACCTTGCCATATGGCATCCTACCCTATGACACACCCCATGGATAATTGAAAACCCAAATCAGCTTTTCCACCCAAGGGATTCCATGGCAAGGAAAGAAAGAAGGAGAAATCAATATTTTGACCTATGCTTTTGTAGTTCATAACTTTATGAATCAATCAGCAACCACTAACACCCTATTAAAAAGGCATAGCCTTAGTACAACCTTGACAAAAGGCATACATAACTTAAAATAGTTTTTCTGATTAACAATGATTTATACAGATTAGAACTGAACTTAACTGGTTAAAATAGAATTTTACTTATTCCTTTGTAATTTATTATTTTGAGTTATTGGCTTTTATTGATCTTAGACTATTTTTTTACTGATTTAAATTGATTTTTACTTATCAAAACTTATATAAACCAAATGAAACTGATTATAATAAACATTATCTTTTGATATAGAAAATACAGCCTAAGAGATTCCAAGCCAAGAGGATAACGAAGGGAAAATTAATGTTCTGACCAACACTTTTGTAGTTTGAAAGTTTATACATAAACCACTAATACAAAGGAAGAATGATAAGCTTCATTTTTATTTTATTTAAAAAGAAAAAGTATAATAAATCAAAACAGTCAAATAAATATTTCTCACTTCCAATGAGCCATATTACTTTCTGACTAATCCAAAAGAAGAGAATATAAGATATAGTATCGCTCAATTATTGAAATCTTTGCTTAATTGTATAATATATATATATATATATATATATATAAAGGGGTGCACACAAATTTAGGCAATTGGAGAGAGAGTGTTGATGTGTTAAGTGGGTGTAAGAAACAAAATGGAAAAAGTAATAGAAAGTAAGTGGAAAGGTGTAAATATTGTGAGGCAAGGAGGTAATGTAGTAAAAGGAATCTGCCAAAATAGAGTAGAACTTAAGTGTAAAGAACTTTCAGGAATAGGTAAAACCGTAAAACTTCTTAAATCAACATCTGTAAATTGGTTTTAATAAAGTGTGTGTGTGCTTACATATATCAATTAGAACAAAAGCCAAATTTACAGTATATGATCTCATGGATCAACATCCATGCATAATGGGACCTAAGACAAGTTTAGTAAGCCAAGAGCTTTCAAGTCCCTGCTTACAAAACACTAAGAAAAAAGATTAGAAACCACTCACCCGTTCACCCTCTGCTGACATGGTCAATGCCAAAACAGATAGTATATCAGCTAGAAATTCCTGCGTTCCATCAAAATAAATCAAAGTTATTCAATTTTAGAATGAAGGCTACATACAGGTAATAAGAAAGACCTACGAAGATTCAATAGGGCAGTACCTTCAATTCAGAACCACTCATTGTTTCATAAAATGCTTTCAAAGTCCCATAGTGTGGGCGGAGAAACTTCAAAGGCTTTGGGACAGAAGTCATAGAACTTGTCGCGGATCGAATCTCCTGCCTACAAAAGTGAAATTTCAGATAGATCAAATAACTTATCACAAAATTCTGTCAACATATGCTTCTTCCATTTTGCTTAGTGGCATCATACTCACTTTTTACATTATTTGTGTACTACACTATGATGTGATCACATAGGATCTAGTTATATTTGTCTCAATATAATTTAGTAATTTACTCGGTAATTAAAGATAGTAACTAGTAATACTTTAATGTTGGCAATGTTTAAGTTAATAAATTACCATTACAATAAAAAAACAAAGTTGAAACCTTGCAAAATTGGAAGCCATACATCATATGTTCAAAATATAGAACAAAGCATAACTCTAATTTAATCACATAACTAATAAAAATAACCTTACCATAGGTTAATTGTAAAACAATACTAAATATAGTGAATTCCCAACAATACAAAATTTAATGAATTCCCCAATCATCACCTGCTACAACATATTCACAGACTACCGCTTATCCTGGATAAAGATATTTCTTGTTCTCGGTTATTTTCAAAAGCATCTATCTAAAGAAGATGACTCTAAAATCGATTGGTGCTATATACTTCCTCCATTCTCCAACACTTTCATTTACAGAAAGTTGCTACAACATATTCACATAGAACCTCTTTTCTAGATGATGATATTATTGTTCCCAGCTACTTTCAGAACCTACAATTTTTAAGTGATATGAACGTTTCTCTTTTTATACATATAATACAACACTTCCTTGATAGGAAGTTTCAAACAATAACAACATTACTAAATTTGGGCATGGATTCCCTCTATTCTCTCCTCACACTTACACTTTGTTTGGATACAAAGAAATGGAAGGAAAAGAAGACAAGTGAAAGGAAGGGGAAGGAGAGGGAGAGATCCATTTTCCCTCTCTCTTTAATAAGCATAATCCCTCCAAATTTGGAGAGATTTGGAGGGAAAATGGAGTTCACCTCCCCCTCCCTTTCTTTTCCCTTCCCTTCCTCCTTTTTCCCTCCCCTTCCTTTCCTTCCTTCTTTGCTATCCAAACAAAGCGCTAGGGGGTGATCGGTATGAATATTGGAAACGAAATGGAAAGGAAACAAATAAAAGGGGGGAAAGATAACATTTAACCCTAAGCTTTTCATTTGTTTGATTAAACCACAGAGAGTAATCAGTTAACTTTCTTTCTTTTTGTTTGAGAAGGGTAGGGTAGTTGTTATCATAGGTTTTAGAGAGCTAACAAATAGGTGGAAATTGTGGAATCCATTACCCCTAATTGATGGTAATTGTAACTCAAGCTTTCTAACCAAACACTTGGAAACGGTAATGTATATTGAATCAGTTTCCAAGCAAAAAAAAAAACCTTACCAAGCATGCTATTAGTAGAGCTATGAATTTCAAATTCATTTCATATTGATTGATTGATTGATTTCATATTGAAATTAAAATAAAATTTTTTAATGACAATTTTTCATTATATCTACAATTCTAATAAATGGAGAACTATTAGATTTATAAGGAGTCTACCTTAAGAGAATCTAAGATAAAAAAAAATTATTAGAATTGATAAAGATGAACTCAGGGTCATCATAACATGGGTTCTTTTTGCCGTATGTTGCAATTAAAAGAGGGGAAGAAATGTATTAGATTTTAGCATCTAACTTTAACAGAAGTACAGTTCTTTATTTGATTTCCTTAATTCCTAATATGTTCAATTGGGACAGAGGTAGAAAAGACATGATTACATGACACCCAACAATAACCACTTTCTCCCACAATAATGCTTCTATGTCATCAATGACTGTAGTGTCGATGCATTACAAGGACAATTCAGTGCTGAAACTGTCCATCAAGACACCATCATTCCCACAAAATCAACCATTAACCTAATTCCTTCGGTTTCATTTCAACAAAAATTCCCTGTACATTCATATTACAATCTGTTTTCGCTGAAGCTACCTAATTTAATTAATTCAAAAGAAACCCGCGATCCATCCTTGAGCACAACACCTACTACAATGAAATCAATAATATCTTCAAAACATAGTTCTCCACTTCCATAGAATTCCACTAGTACCGACTACCAGAACCCGAAAACTACATAACAATTTGTAAAAGGAAGTTACCTCATACTCTCTAGAGCTACTCTTTGCAGCCCAGGATCGGGATCCTGAACTCGCTCGACGTATAATTCCAACTGCTGCTTCAAAGCCAAGTCCTCCTCCGACTACATTCAATAGCAACATCCAACAGCAACATCAAATAATTGCAACAAAAACAAATACCCAAAACAACTTGTCGATTAATTCAAACACCAAAAACACAAAATTAGAGCGAAATCAACAATTGAAGAAAGAAAATTACGAGATCTTCCTCCTTCTTGTCATCCTTCTTTTTGGGGTCCTTCGATGGAACCTTGGTTGAAGCTTCATTGCGATTGGCGCTAGGGTTGCCGGCTCCAGTATTGCTCGGCTCAGGGTCCATGATTGCGAGTGAAACCCTAGGAGAGAGAAAATTAGGGTTCGAATCGAATTGAAAAGATTGCGAGCGTAGGAAACTTGAGGAGTTTGAGTTCGATTAGATTCTCTCTTTAGACTTTATCGAGTTCAGAAGTCTGGGAGGAGAGAGAGAGAGTGTGTGTCGAGAAATTGGGAAAGAGGCGGAATTAATAGGTACGGAGTTCGGGTTTCTTTTTGCTCAAGCTGCTATAAAGTATAAACTGTAAATTTCAAGTCCTATCACTAGCAAGCACCAAATTTACACCTAGATATAAACGAAAGTGGCAACTTTTTAGAGGAGATCATTGGGCGGGCTGAGGTGGGTTCAGGGCCGACCGAGGCTGAAAAAATCAGCCCGTTTTTTGAGCCAGGTTGGACTAAGTTTCGGGCTGAAAATTATGTGCCCAAATTAGTCGGGCCGTGCGGGCTTTTCGGCGCGGGCAAAAAAAAATAACTAAAATTGCATAAAATCTCATTCCCAAGTCCTTCAGTAAAAAAAAATTAAAAAATCGGGCCGAGTCGGAAAATTCTGCCCAAAATTGAGTCGGGCCAGCGTATCGGGCTTACTTTGGTCAGGTCTACAACTTTGTAAATGTAGGTACATGCAAATTTTTGCCTACACCCCATGGCAGGGAACATTGCCTACACCCCCCAACCCTTCGCGCATGCCCAAGCCCCTCCTCTTTTCATCTATGAACTAGTTATTGGCTCGAGCAATGCCCCGAATCATTATAAATTTATGATCATATGAGTTTGATCAAACTTAAATTTAAAGGGGTTGATTTTCAACAATATTAATAGGTGAATGATTAAAAAATAACTTTTTTCTTAATTTTGCATCGATAGAATGAATCATACATCTTTGTTATTTTGATATCCATACTATTGATATTATATCTCGTACTCTATAACCACAATTTTATCATTAAATGCACATGTTTCTTTTTGAAAAGGACTTAAATGTTTTAATATAACATCATGAGTGATATTATGTAACTTGTAATGAAATTTCTTGAATAAACAACGCTATGAAAATGACCAAGTTGTTTACATATAATAGATATATAATTGTTTAAATTGAAAGGTTAAATATATGAAGTGTTCTTCCTGTAGAATAAATTTTATTAATTCTTATTGTTAATTATTGCTAAATAAAGGTATTTAATATTAGAGTGCTTCAATAGACACAATATATAATAATATAGCTTATATGAAAGGTTTTATGAGGCTTGCCATGTCATTACTTATGTGGCACGTTCCTAATTGTTTCTTATTTTTCAGGGTTAAGGTGGGTTGCAAACGTAAGTGAGCTTCATCAGCAAATAATGACTCTTACAACCTCCTGCGAAAGAAGATGTTTTTTGATAGAGCGTTTTGTTTATTTGGTTCTCGTGACATAGTGTTTTACTTGGTTGTTATGTGTTTATTATATTAGTTTGTGTTTAGATTATACCACAAATTTTCGTTATATGAGCCTTTTGTTAAAAAAAAAAAAAAAGTCAAAGTCACACATTGCGGAACGAAGAGGGGCTTGGTGATAGCATTGAACCAATCGAAGGGACCTTTGTGTAATTAATAAACGAATTAGGGTTTAAGTTGTATTCCAAATCTTTCGAAAATAAAACCTCTGTTGAACGAACAGAGAAACTGAAATACTCCCTCAAAACAAGAAGACAAGGCGAAATGGCCACCATTGCTGCCGCAAGATCCATTTTCCGATCAACCTCCGCCCGCAGCGCCGCCGCTAAGTTCGCTTCTGGCACCAAATCTGCTCGCTCTGCCTTTCGCTCCCCCGTCAATAACTCACTCTCTCAGCGCATCTTCAGGCATGTCTCATTTCTTCCAATTGAACAGAATATTTATCGTCAATATTTTTAAATCATAATCTGAAGGAATCGTTTTAGTGTTGTTTCGGAAATTTTGGTGCTTAAAATTTTGGATTTTTGTATCGTTTATTTGGGAGAACTATTAAAAAGCATTTGGTTGTTTCGTGTAGGTGCCCTGCTGAATTGAGCGTTTGTTTGGAGACAATGCAGCCGTTTCATACTGCAACTGCTTCGGCGTTGATGACTTCGATGCTTTCGATATCTCCCCGTTGCTATGGTTGGGTTCCTGATGGTAAGTTCGGTTGAATTTTATGTACATATTTCAATGGATTGTGTGCAGAATATTGGTTATGCAGTATATGGTATATTTGATGTGAATTAAGTGTATTTGATGAGTGATGGACTGTCAATCTGTGATTTAAGTGGGTTTGATTGCTATTATATTGATGTTCTCCGGAAATTATCTCTTTGAAATGAATTATGCTGTTACAGCAACCAATCAATAATATGTATGCTGTTGATTTGTCATTAGTATTAGCACTGCTCGTTATGCATTTAATTATGTATTTAGAAGTTTGGCCAAGTAATTGAGTTTTGGACATCAATTCAGGACATTATCGATAGGTAATGTTCTTTATTATGCTACATAGAATCATCTAGTGATGTGGATTTGTGTTTCAGTTTTATAGTTTTTATGTGTTTATGTGGTTGCAAGCTAGGGGTAAGTATATTTTTAGAATTTTCAGAGGATCTACACTGAACATTTGGAAGGTTCAGACACAGAAGTATCATTTAAAGAAAGTTGAAATAAATTACAATACTGAAAATCTTAAATTGTAAGTATAGTAAATATCAGTTTATATATATTTGGTTTACCATTTTGATATCAAGAATTCAAGAGTAGAAAATCTGAAAGTCATCTATAAATGCAGGCTTTTTGACGGAATTTAATCTATAGTATTCATAAGAGGACTAAGGTTTTAGGGTTGATATTTTGAAACTATATTTATTTGGAAGCCATTCATTTGTGGTAGGTCGCTGGCGAGAATTGCATGCCATATAGAGTACTAAGAGTAATGTTAGGAGGAGTTTGGAGTGGGGAGGTTGACAATTAAGGTTAATTCTCCCTTCATAAGGACTTTTAAATAGTTAGTCACTCATATTACATTATAAGACTATTGTTACTTATTACTCCCTAATAAAAGTGTTTCCTTCACTCATGTGATCTATGTTAGTAATCTTATTATCAGAATATGTGAAGTTGTTGACCAATATTCTGGTTTTCCTTGTAAATCTACCTATTTTAGTTGGCTAATCTGACATTGGTAGGTGCAACTAAGTTCACTTCAATAGTTATCACTCTCCTTTTCACTTGTTGTGTAAAACTTATATTTCATATTAGCTTAATATTTTCACAATTGCCTTTTGTAAGATTTTAGGTGATACTACCTTCCAAGTGAAAAGGTTTGGGAAAGTGTTTTTACATGTCCTTATGTGGTTATTCTCTTGACTTAAAAATTCTAAAGCATCAATCTCCACATAAGGCTTCCTAATGGATTCTTATCTTCTCTCTTGAATTAGGTATCTAACCCAAATTCTAGAGCCCTTGATGCCCTTTCCTTACCTTGGACCATCTGGTAAGTCAATAACCACCAAATGCTGAATTAAGTCATAAAAATTATCTCAGAAATCATTGTAGATCTACATATCCTCTCCGGAACTCCAAGTTCATTTTAAGTCTCTCAAATATGGCTTTCAGGACACGCTTTTGTCGTGTCACTTAATTCACATACCTTATACTTCCTACTTTTCAACCGACTTAGTTGATGAGGCCTCCTATGTTTCACCATTCTTGCTATTCTCTCAACATCACTCTGCGATTGTTTCTTTCCTCCTCAGAGAATTCCTTTTTCCTTATTTTGTAGGCTTTATCAAGACTAGATGAAGAGACAAAAGCAAAGGAGGATGCCTACAGTCTGCTATGTAGTCCACCTAAAATAACTATATAGTCTTATCTTTCAGTAGATCGATTATGTGCTGCTTCTTGTAAAAGCAGTGGTGTTGATCCATAGATTTCATCAAAGGATAATTATATATTCTTTTTTTTCCCTTTCCTTCATTGTTCCTTTGAAGGTCCATATGCCTGATGCAAGGATCGTTTTCCCTTTTGCGGTTTTGAATTCTCTAAATTGCTGTAGAGATTACGTTCATTTTTGGTAACATATGGTACCTTGAATTCTCTTTATTGATTTTCATCGTGATGCTCTCCACACTCAAGGAGTGTTTTGAAAGTGTTTTTCTTATCGATGCTGTTTCTAGCCTCTCTTAACTTTTACTCTGTACTATTTTTCATAGGCTTGTTGTGGCTGTAAGAATGCATAGCATTTGAAGAATTCCCAATACCTTAGTTTTTAAAAATTATGTGCTAGAAATGTTATCTTCTTGAAGTTTTTTTATTTTTATTTATTTATTTATTTTTCTAAATTGTTGTTTTCTTTTATCTTTAAATCTAGTATTCAATTATAACCACAGAAGGGTTTAGTGTGGCATCTAGCATTTTGTTGTAGCTTGGTTGTAATTGAAACGTATCCTTGTGATGCCAGTATAGCTGGTTTTCCTATGTCTCCATGTTTCCTTTTTATGCTTTATGTTACTCTTCTTGCATCTTCTATCCTAAGCTCTTCTACAATTGATGTGCTTTTAGGCTTTTTTGCGATCTGGTGGTTATCTCATTTAAGATCTTGTTTGTCTTATAGTTCGTTGAAATGTGATCTTGTAACATGATTAGAAAAATCAGATCTATATTAGACTAAGGATCTATTCTCCTCCCATTATTTTTGCTTATTTCAGCTCTATAAGGACTAATAAGTTAAGCTCAAATAAGATAAATAAAGGACTATAAAGGTCCAATAAGGTCTAGAAAGGCCTAGTAATAAGGTCTAGGAATATAAGATAAGAACAGGGCAAATAAGTTCATATAAGATAAGAGAGGTTAATGATAGTCCGACATGGTTCTTGAATGTAAATTGTTTTGATGTTCCTCCTAATGTGCAATAATAAAGCCTTCCTTTTCAATTTTTTTTTTTAAAAAAAGAAGATAAGATACGATCTTAACAAATATTAAATGTGTTGCTTGAAATAGTGGTAGTTTTATTTGATTGATTGTGTGCTATGTAGTGACATGTTTTTGGTGTAGTACACATGCCTCGGGAAATGTATGGACTTAACATTGTGAAGGTATTCCTATGTTAGGACTTAAAGATATTTGTTCAAGCTTCTAAGATCCTCATTAACTTCTAGGCAACCACATTTTTACGAGCTTTAAAAATAACAAATTGAAGGGTTTTTTTTTTTTCCTCTTATAGAGGAGTTTTCAATTTAAGTGATCATTTCAATTTGTCTAAAATGCCCTTACACAATACATGTATCCTTCTTCTATGTAATAAGCCAATGCTCTTATGTAATTTCATATTCTTTTCTTTACTTCCACAATAAGAACCCAACAACAATAGTAGCAACAAAGCCTTGGTCTCAAATGATGTGGGATAAGCTAACATGAATTGTCATAGGTAGTGAAAGAAAAGTGCCCAAGTGAAAGTGGATCTAAAGTGAGAAACATCATAGTGAGCAAAGGTGTAGAGTGAAAACCTAAAAGAGGATAGAACATTAAAGTCTGAGAAAGGTTTATGAAAGAGGGTTAAGAGCATCTCCAAGGGCTAAAATTAACTTGTCTTGCCACATAATATTTTAAGCTAATTTACTTGTTAGCTCATTTGTACTCTAATGGTTAGCTACTAGGTTTCTATATAGTTGTGTTCCATATGTCAATAAATAACTGGCTAGCATTCTCCATCCTTTTTGTCACCTATTAGCTTATGACTTTTATAAATTCAAAGCAAGTCCCTAGCTAAAAAAAGAGGAAAAACATACGAGTAAAAATAAAAATATTTTTAAAAAAGTCTTAACTCAGGATAATAAATATGAAAATGAGCTTAGGTAAAAGAAGAAAGTGTACACACACACACAACAATCCCATCACTACATTCTTCAATCTTCCGTACCTTACTTAAAAGAGCCTTACTTAATCTTTGTCTTACATGGACAACCAACCTTAGGTAATTCTCTTTCATCTTGTTTTAATAGATTTATTCCCTACTTTCTTCCTAATTATCTCATTCATTAACCGATCTTTTCTGGTATGACCCTACATTTAATGCAACATATGCATCTCCGCCACATTTATTTTATGAATGTGGCAATACAGCACAACCAACATTCTATATCATATAATAATGTAACATACATTGCATTCTGTGGGGCATGCTAGGATCACATAAAAACCCTGTGGCAATTTTCCACTTCAACCAACCTGCTTTTGTTTAATCTAAGATCTATAATTCAAAAGGATAAGGATTTGTATGGAGATGTTGCTCCATCGATTTGATATTTATGAGCTATTTAACATGATGTTCTGTCCTTGGTCTCTTTCTTTCTTGCAATTTGGTTCAAAACAATGATGTGTCTAAATGGTAATTGAAGTGTTGTGTACGTTTTTATACCCATGTTTGAACTTCCTATGTCTGACGCAACTAATTGATAAATGGTTCATTAAAGGAATAGTCCCAAAAACTTTCGACTATCTATACAAAAAAAAGTCCTTTGTCTAGAATTGTAATTCTATTAGCAAAGTCATTGCTTAAGTTGTCTTTTTTTTTTTTTTTTTTGTTGTTCGTTCATATAAATCCAATAATTGAAGAATTAGAGTAATATAATCATCAAGGGTTGTTAGAAAATCAATACAGGTTAGGTGGAGATAGCATATACACTATATCTTTAATTTCTATGGCGTTGGAACTCTTGGAAGTGTAGTAATTTCTTCCATCGTGAAGCAATTCCTTCTGGGTAGTTTGGATGGGAAAAAAGTAAATTCTTTACACACCTAGTCTTGCTGACATCTCTATTCTTCATTGTTCCTTCTTCACCACTTAGATGACCGATAACTCTCTACCCCATTGCCCATAAGGTCTTGGGATCAATTAATGTTTCACCTCTGCATGTATTGTTAGTCATTATTTGGTATTTAAGAATTTAATTTACAATTTCTGCTCCTATTATTTTCCTACTGTTTATGTAGATAGTCTTCACCTGTCTTGCAACATCTGCTGCTGAGTCATATTTGCATCTTGTATCAGCTTCTATTATTTACAAACTAAATTTAACATAAACATTGAGCAGGCTGACTGACTATGCGTGTTCAATCAGCTTGCAATGATGACGTGTGAAAATGCTCAGAAGATTCAACTGGAGTCTTGAACAGAATCGCCTTGTTACACTGTAACTGCTGATTTTTCATTTTTTTGTATCATACCTTCACCTCATCAATTAATGCAAGATGTACTGCAATATTTTTCATAATGTTTTAGTCAATAGATTTGTGGCATCATCAATATCATCATCATGTTGATATGCAGCCTTGACTTGTATGCTTTATTTTGTTTGATCAATGGGTTTTAGGCAAAAAAAAAATTCCGTATAAAAGTGGAGATCAGAGTAAGCTAGATGGGAATTAGTTGCTGAACATTTTGCTATTAAATATCATTGATAATAATTTTCCTATTATAATGTGATGTAAAGGTGTTAAATAAATTTCTAATGCATCCAATCTATTTGAGATGGTCCAGGTGCATAAGCTTGCTGTTTGAAAAAGTGAAAATTTCAGCAGTCATCTTGAAGTGAGTCTGTTTGTCTCTGTCTCTAGTTTACATTTAATTGGGTTGCTACCTTTGGTGTATGGCTGACCGTTAATATTGTGATTTCTAGGCATCCTTCGAAGGATTTGACATGTTATTATGCATAAAATGTCCATAATCTGCCCTCTTTTCCGTCTGCCACATTCCTCCAACCTAGTTATCATTATGAGGCTGCCTACCGTAATTAGTGTTTACTTGTTGCCTATTATTGTTTCACTGTCTTGTTATCCTATTCCCTTTCCCTTCCTTTTCTTTTACTTACGTATGAAAGTTGCTTCTAGTCTCATGTTAGAAATGTGGATTACCTTCCTTTTTTACTGCAATAATGGCATGAGATTGTTCAAAATTTGACATTACATTCTCATTCATTTGACAATATTATTCATTTTATAGGGCTGTAATTAATCATCTTTGAGCTGCTGGGGAGGTTTGCCGAGGAGATTAGTTTATAATTATAATATATTTTTCTAATAAGTCTCAATTTCAGTTTCAAGACATGGGGACTGATTGTGGTATGATATGTGTACTCTATGTTTTCTAGTGTATTGTCAATGAATTTTGTCGCATGCTGTGAACATGTAGCAAAATTTTCCGCTACCAACTTCATTGGCTGGTGTTTGCTTGAGTAATAGAACAGCTGCATCCAAGGCATATTGATTCAATCACCTTTTTTAGTATTGATATGCTTGCATTAACCTCCTATGATTTGGTTCTCCGTCATTAACTGGAATTTGTGTAGCAAAACCCTTAGCGGTCTTAGCCAACCATGTTTTCCTTTATACAAAGTACATGGTATGTTTCTACACATATTAGCAAATTATCCAAGGTCAGGCTCTGTGTAGGTTTTTTTTTTTTTTTTTTTTTTTGAGGAATCGCTCTATCATGTTTTGTTCATTTCTATTATTCTCCCATTTCATCGTATTGGGTCGGTAGTAAGACTTGTACCACCTGTTTTACAAGTAATATGCGAGTGAATTCCTATGGCTTCTTCTCGCCCTTCTCATTCCTTTGATAACTTTTGAATTATGCCTAAACACAGCTGTTGAGTTTATTCCATCAAAATTCTAGTAGAACAATTTCTTGTTTATGATAAACTTGGAAAGATGCTATTCTACTAGTCCCTTGCTGTTCGTCGGATGAAATTTCCATAGCTTAGTGATCCCAAAATGCAGACTAATCTGGGAAGGATGGATCAGGAAAACATTATAGTTAGCTCCTTGAGATAGATCCAGCCTACTGAAGATGTCAATAAATGGAATTTGTGATTAGGATAAAATGCTGATTTTTGTTATACCTGGTTGGTGTAGCAAACCTTGCAGTTTGAAGTGGTTACCCAAAACTCTACGCTGCCGATTTATTGCTCAACCTTTAATTACAATTTGACGGGTTACACTATTTATAAGTAGATTTAGGATTGATGCTAGAAGCATGATAGCTGAAACATTCGGAGCTCGAGATTTCGGATTAGATTCTTACATTAATCAAGCCTAGGGTTTCACCTAAAAATATTTTAAGAAAAAAAATAATGTGAGGTTTTGTTTTTTCTTATTCTT